TGAAGGCTTGGGAAAGGTCACATTATTGTAGTGTCTGACGGAAGAATAAGTCATGGGCATTGCGATAGTAGCAGATTGATAAGAGAATGAATCAATGGTGGATTTTAATTAGTGAGTATCACTGGAGACAGTTTGTGTTCATGCTTTGACGGTGGAGACGAAAGAACTTTCGATTGTTTGTTGAATATATTGGATGTATAATATATACTGATGATGACGATGACGATCAAATAAAAATGATGATGATGAAATACATGAAATACCGTATATGGATGATGGTCCTTGAGCGTACGTACGTCTCCCGGCCCATACACGTGTACAGTATTCAATATTCTCGTCGTCTGTGCAAACATCCATAACCCTTACCCTTACCCTGAACCGATGCTGTTTGGTAGTTTTCCGAAAATATATAATGATTCAGGCATCGTAAATAAAATAGCATGCTCGTCAAGACCGACTGTATCCCAGAAGCTCCCAGCTTGCAGCTGGCAAAAACCATGCATCTGGATTAAAATATACTCAGAAAACCAAATACCTGTACTAGAACTTACTGAGAACGTACAGCACCATGGGTGGAGCGATCACGACACGTACGGTATAGTATGCGTCCGAGGCAGGACCTAGCTAGCTGTAATGTTATTGCCATCCACCACACACAAATTTTCAAAAATCTGTATCTTTGACCACTCCGAGTCAATAATAATGACCCCCATGAAAATCGGGCATCTCATCATCATCATCATTATATATTAAGAAATAAATAAATTAAACGCAGCAGCAGCAGTATAATTACTGCATGTTGATCAAAGGTACGACAACAGCTCCACCAGTAAAGAATGGCACCACCAATCAACAGAAATAGAGCCGGCCTCCTCTGCGGTCTTGTTTGTTGCTGTATCTGTTGCATCATACCAGGCATCATTACGATGGTGACAGCAAGTTTTCAATACGAAGATTGGGAGTCTGCTCAGGCCGAGGTGATGAATACAACCTATTGTGGGACATACCGGCGTCGTCGCAAGCTAGGACGTGAAATTGTTCAATCGGATGCTGCTGCTGCTGCTACTACTACTGCGAGCCGAACACTATTACAACGAGACGACAGCACGATCATTACTGGAGATTTGGATGATACTAATAAGGATTCAACAGATGGAAATACTATTCAGCGCGACACCAAGATCTTGAGGGTCAACAGAATTCCTTCTGTCGAAACTCGCAAAGGAAGTTTCCAAAGCTTTTCAATTCAAGCGTTATTTGTGGGCTATGATGATGATGACAACAAGTCGAACAAAGTAGAACAAGATGACATGGACAGCAGTGATGACAGTGACGACGATGAGGATGATGCCAGCGAAGACGAGAAAGAGCCTAAAAATAGTGGGAGCAATTCGGATGCTCCAGTTATTTCACAAACAACAACTACTTATTCTACGAGCAACATGTTTGTTACCAAACAAAAGAATAATTCCCGAAGAAGGACCACCCAACAACAACAAATACACGGCGTCCAGCGACGGGCCAAGGGCGGAGGAGTTGCGGCTGGGGCCGCCGGAGGAGCGGCTACTGGATACTACTTTGGATCGTCCGGCAATAGACACAATTCACACTACCGCTCCTCGAGCAGCAGCAAAGGGCCCCAATACAGCACCACCTACTCCTTTATGACATTGGATGGAGAAAATGTTACGGCCACGACCGAGTATTGCATGAATCCCGTTCCTCCCGTTGGTGGAACCGAAACGGTGTTGTACAATCCCGATAGTCCTACGGTGGGAGTAGTGTCTCAGGGATTTAAAGAGGGCCTGCAGGGTGATGGCATCAACAGCCTCATCATTGGACTCGTTTCCGTGGCAATCATTGGAGCCTGTTTGTATTTTGTCATGAGACGGCGAAAATCATCAAGCCATACCAGTACCAATACCAATACTATTTACAGCAACAACAACAACAATGCTTTCAGCAGCAGCGAGAATACCTACAGCACAAGTAACTATTCCGACAACAAGAATCCTCATGATGATGCTGCTGCTGTCGAAAAGCCCCAGTATGGAGAGCCACCTATCGTTCAAGCACAAGAGGTGACAAACAACAACACTGGTCCAATTTCGTATACCTCTGCGGCCTACAAGCCACCTTGAGAGCAGTCGCATTTTATATGATGACTGTTGGTCTGATGTACTTCGTTGTCCATAAAATAGAATACATGTGCGTATCTTCATTCATAGAGACTTCTGCTCGTACGTTAATAAATCAAAAGAAACGAAACGAATATGCAATCTTGGTGGTGTCCCGATTATGATGTTTCATTAAATCGAAAACATGGTCTTTATGTAGAAGTGTTCAACATGCCGCGTACTATGGGTTTCTGACGAGCGGTTGAGTCCGAACAAAAGATTCAAAACTACAATAAGCTAGCCTATTGTTCCTGAATTTCAGACAAACAAACGCATTGTACCGTATTATACTGATACTGCTGCTTTGCAGAGATAACCATCATAATCAAGAGAGAGAGAGAGATACAGTAAGGCATCATGAAATTTGAGAATGCAGAACAACCACGAGACGGAGAACGAGCTTCTTCTTCTTCCAACTTGAAGAAATGCGCACCAAAGTCAGTCTTTGGAATTTCCATGTGCTGCTGTCTTTTGGGTTGCCTTCTTCCTGGAATTGGTTTGCTCGGCTTCAACTATTTGACGTATGGAAACTACGAGTCGGTGCAAGCCAAGGTCGTTGGACAAACCTTTTGCGGGTACTATCGCCGTCGGAATCTAAAGCATCAGCAGCAGGACAATGTCGATGAATCATCATTTGCCATGTGGGAAGACGAAGATGAGGAGGAACTAATGGATCGAAGACTGAAGAAAAGTGGCTACAATTCTGGAAGCCGCTCTTCCTCCACAAACAAGAAACAAAACCACTACAAGATGACATATGAGTTCTTGACATTGGAAGGAGAGAACATTACTACCACCACGGATTACTGTGTCAAGGCACGCCGTCCCATCAATTCCACCGAGTACATCATGTACGATCCAGATGATCCGTACAATGTGGTGCATGAAACGAAGACCACGGCATATCTGGTGCTTGGTGTGTCACTGGCAGCAACTGGAGCTGTATTCCTATGTGCGGCATGTGTCCTATACAAGGTGTTTATGAGTACCTTCGGAGACATGTTGGGATCCAACAGCAACAATTCTAATAATAATGGAGGCATGCCCGATCCTACTGAGAATAACTCAGAAAGCAACCATGGTGGAGGTGGCATTCCAGCAACGACTGGATTTGCATCGGCATTCTCGCAATTTACCAATCCAAATGCCAACAATAGCAATTCAGCTACTAACAACAACAACAACTCGGCTCCCAACAGCAATACTAATGGGAGCAACAACAACGGTGGCAATACTCCCATGGCTGGATTGGCATCAGTATTCTCACAGTTTACAAACCCGAATGCCAATGCAAACAACAATAACAACTCTACAGCTCCAAACAACAATTTGGCTCCCAATAACAACCAAAACCACCACAACAACAATGCGAACAACAATCCTATGGCGGCTGGGTTGGCATCTATGTTTTCACAGTTTACAAACCCCAGTGCCAACAATAGCAACAATAATGCAACTGCTCCCAACAACTCAACGGGACCAACCACCACGGATACTCCGGCAAGCTATAATAACAATAATGCTTATGGCAATACAACCACCACCGAGAATAATAATCCATACCATGGAAATACTACTGGCAACAACAACAACAACAAGAATTCCTACGGGAACACGGCCAGCAATCCCTACCAAGATAATAACAACAGCACGTACAGCAACAACATACGACAACAGCAACCTTCTCCAAGTGCTCCTCCCGCCAGTGCTGTAAACCCGACGGGCGGCTACCGACCTCCTTAAAAGAACAAGGTGCGTGGTGGTGGTCGTGACAAAAAGCAAGTGAACTTGCTGTACCTATTATATGTTTCAGTTGCAATTGTTTTTAATTAAATACATGTTTTATATAATAAAAATTACAAGAAAACTCCTGGCGTTGTAAAGTTATCGCATAGCTATTTGTATTTTTCATCGACACGACTGGATGTTAATAGAGATTGGTTTGGAAGAAATTAAGCAGATATTCAATGTAACGGTACCGTGGTACAGGACCTATAGCCGCGTGGACAAATAAGCTATACTTTCTCCATCAGAAAAGTATCTCATGGAGAGAATCGGCTTTCCTTGGACATCGAATCGGAACGAAGTGGAGTGGCAAATGATGTACAAGGAGCTTATTCGATTTCAACAGGAACATGGACATATCTGAGTGAAGATAGCAGATGATTCAGTCCTATGCGCATGGATGCAACATCAACAGAGAAAATACGAAGGTAGAACCAGTTCCGACGTTTCACTACACCAAATCCAGCTCTTGAAAAAGGTAGGTTTTCTTTCTTGACCGGAAGAGGACTGAGTTATGCATCTATTTTCTATCACTTTCATCGATAATAGGCCCCAATAATAGGTGCCACAGCACATTGATGATAGAAGCTGCGCACAGTCTTTTGACTTTTCATCTTCGTCGTCATTGAACCATTTTAATCCACATATTCTCTACCCTCAGAATTATGTGCAGCGTTCGACTAGCATCTCCCGAAATGGATACAAAACATGCTACAAGGCTATAATGGCGAGGCTCTATCATCCCCACGAGTCCTCTAACACATACAAAGAACATGCTGATTTTATAGAATTGAAGGGTTTCATCAAATATTATCGGAAAGTTGGACGTCCTGCTGCTGCTAGCGTGCTCCATCATTTTCAGCAATTTTTACCACCTGCTGCACATTGTGATTGGGGCTGTTCATGATACTATAGTACATGAATAAACTATCCTAGTTAGCTCAAAAAGTGAGTGGTGAGTGGTGAAACTAGTTACCTCGTAACGTTACTAGTTTGATATGCCTTCCTTCCTTCTAGCTCTCTTCTAGTTGTGTGGACGGCTGTCACCAGTAAAGTATAGACAAGGCGTCTTGCTCGTGGCGAGTGATAGTGAGAGGGTTAGACGACTCACTACAGTATATCACTGATAATGAATGAGTCTCGAATAATGTCTCACCGCGCTTCCCGCTATATCCACCACAAAATATATCCCCTCATTATTCACCCTCCAAATGTTTGTTCACCCAAGACCCATAAAAAAAAACATCTCACGACAGAAATTGTAGCATTGTCCTCTACTATTGTAGGGGTGCGTTTTATGCAAGCCCATAAGAGGTTTGAGAAAAGTCGCGCTGGGAACAGAATCGCCACGACTGCCAGGAGTCAGTCATGCGGAGTGATGTCAATCGCATATATGAAGTTCGACAAGGAGGCGGAGGATGAATGCGTATCCATGTATCAACCAACCAACCAACCAACCACAAAAGATATATATTAGAACACAAGAAGAAAATCTCAAAATTTCGAATAAAGCAACATCATAATGCCAGTGGAAGAAAAAGAAAGCAACAGAGCCAGCATCAAACGAAAACAACTCGCAAAATTACTGTGTTGTCTCATATGTTGTTTGGTTCCAGGAGCCATCATTTGGGGAGTTGCCAATCTGCAAGTCCAGGACTTGGAATATGCGAAGGGTACCGTGGTCGCAACCACATATTGCGGATACAGTGTCAAAAAAGGCGTGGATTACAACAATGGCAAGAGAGATCACTACAATATTACCTTTCGTTTCGAACTGGTATCGAATGGGACGACTGTGAATGCAACCACCGAGGATTGCACCGGATCCGTACCATCGCTTGGAACAGTGGAAACAATTTTATACGATCCAGAAGATCCAACTGATATAGTGCAGAACTCTACTTTTCAGACCTATCAAGCTGTTGGAATTGGGTTGGCTGCCTTGGGCTTAGTCTGCAGTTTGGTATTGGTAACGACAGTCTTGTTGGAGAATCGTCATGCTGGTGGAACCAGTAAGCATTATTCGGGCACGGCTCCTGGCTCGGACCCAATTGTACTCCAATCCCACCGAGCACAAGGCAATAGGACTGCCACTGGATACTATACTGCCAGTGGGGCTGGGGTTGTGGCGGCCATTTAGTATTGGTGTGGTAGTGGGTATCTAGCTATAGTCCTAGCACTAGTATTCTAGATAGCGGTTTTTATGCTCTTATGGTCGAAGTGCGGTTCTGTTCGTCCAGCATTCTATTCTTGCGTCCATGTTGAATTGATGAAAGCACTGTCTAGCTATAGAGCAACATATCATTGTTGTTGTTTCACCTTCGTACCGGTAGAACAAGATCGATCCGCAATATCCGTCCTGCAGTCGACTTGTTCGATCTACTCAAAAAAGAACCGAACACTTCTGATTCATTATTTCCTTCTCCAATCAAAATTCGAAACATCTGCCTGAGAATCACCAACATCATCAACATCCGGATCGCATTGTTCCGAAAGAATCCAGAAGAAAGTAATATACCGGAAGATTGATGGATCTGTGCACGACTTCAGCAAAAAAGACACAGTGAAGAGACAAGTAATCTATCGATCTCTTACAAATCAAACCTAAAAAACAGGAAACGAGAAATACTGCGAATCAGTTAGTTGTTTTCAGGAAGTCTCAGGAAGTTTCGGGCCAGCACTTCAGAAATTTTCCGTCAGCCATCCACAATGAAAGACTTTCACGCGTATGCATCAGTCTTTGGATGTCGATTGCTCTTGCTGTCGATTCTGAGTCTATCTTTTTCTTGCCAAGCCTTTGTTGTTGTCAATAAGGTTTCGTCATCCACACCAAGATCTTCAGCATATGTTCCGTCGATGATAGCATTGGACCTTATTTATTTCAACGGGAAGGGCAAATATCAGAAAAGTGTAAGGAGTGATACAACCCGCCGCTCTCAGCTGTACTATTCAAATCACGGTGATGATCATCAACAACATCAAGAAGATATGAAACGAGCTGCTGCTAAAGATGAGATTGGCGGGGATGGTGTATGGTTTCAGAATACCATGGAAACTTCAGCCGACACGTCATCCAAAGAAGCTTTGAGGGAGCTGTTACGTGACTGGCAATTGGGGACGGATACCAACGACGACGATCAGCTGCTGGTCTTTTTGTTTCTCTCGCATCATTGGGAGTTGCAAGATGTGACATCCAATGCGATGGATCTACTCGAGGAAATGAGTATGGGTGGCGACGAAAAATCATCCAAAAAGGATAACATTCATCTAATCACAGTGATTGGAGGAGGAGTTATTGGCCAGAATCAAGAATACGAAGAGGAAGCTAGTCACCCTGTCTATGGAAGAAAAGCCATCAAGAAGCAAATGTCAATTCTTGGAGGATATTGCAAGAAAGATGAAATTAATAATCCGAAATCATCAGAATCATCGTCGTTGCAAGTATTTTCCATGTCCAACAATGATGCCACTGTCAAGAGGACCATGACCACGACAAATCAGGGAACGAATCCACAGCAGCCACAACCATTTCGATCCGATTCCTCTCTCTTTGTCTTTAGCGATCCTTACTGCCGCCAAATCCAAAATTTGTTTGGCGAATTGCACTCGCTCAATTGTCAAGTAGCCGGAGGCATTTCAGTGCCCCACCAGTCGGCCCTGTACGATCCAACCCTGGCCATAAATCGCGAGATCTTGCCAAAGGGAAGTTTGGTCGGAGTCCAATTGCCGTCCAACTATCAGTTGCAATGTGTGGTATCCCAGGGTGGATGTCGACCAGTCGGACCTACCTATCGAGTGACCAGTGTGGATGGACCGGCCATTCATGAATTGGATCAAGTCAAGGCACTGGAACAATTAGATCGTTTGTGTTCTAATGAAAATCAAAGTAGTGATGAGGACGATGGTGATGATACTGATTTTGAAACAACTGTCACCATATTGTCCCCGAAAGACCAAGAACTTATTCGACAAGGAGGTGTACTTGCTGGTGTCTTTTTGGAGGCATCGTCGTGTTCTGGGGTTGACGATCAACTCAATGACGATGAATCTCCATCACTACAACCGTCGGCCTCCATAGAATCATCATCATCATCAGCAGCACAGGATTCTACTGAAGCTGAAGGCCTTGTGGAGGGCGAATACATGGTGAGGGAGGTGACAGGATTCCGACCACGTTCCGGGTCTATTCTTGTGTGTGGGCAACCTCAAGTTCAATTAGGTGATCTCTTTCGATTCCATGTTCGATCATCTCAAGAAGCCCTAGACGATTGGAAGCTCTTGTTGAAGCAGACAAAAATGGAGCAACTTTTTCTGAGTTCCAAAGCCGATGAAGTTTCGTTGGATGCTACTGAGTCTTCTGCTGCTGCTGGCGGAGATGGAAATCTATCATCATCATCATCATCATCACCATCATCCACAACGACCACTAGTCGAATCGTATGTGGGATGCAAATATCCAGTTTGGCACGAGGAAAAGACTTTTTTGAAACTCCCAATGTAGATTTGGACCATGCCAAAATGCTGCTCGAGTCCAAGAAAAACAGAGACAATTTCAACGATTCAGCAACACCACCAATTGGTGGATTCTTTTCCAATGCGGAAATTGGTCCAGTCGGCATACGAATGGGGGCGCAAGGCGACAGTTCCCAACCGTATTTGCATGGATTTGCCACAGTCGTTGCCATGCTGTGTGAAATAACAACAATTCCCATTGACGACAGCAGTCAAGGCAGCAATGGCTCGGAAGATAGTGATTTCCAAGCAACCATTTCAAGCTCACAGTCTTCGTGGGCTTGATGGTTGTCATTCATTCATTTCATACATGTTCGACTTCCTTTGTAACAAGTGTCAATATAAATCGAAAGTATGACTGACTCTACACACTTTATATATATACCTTATCAACACGCGATGGTACAGTATTGTACAGTAGCGAGGCGATTGGATCTTCTACTCAGCGGCAGTACTGTACCGTGCAGCACCTGCAATACGAAAAACGACGCTACAAACATATGAACTTGTTTTTGTGAGAAGAGTTCGGGCCGATCCGAATTTTGACATAGTGAATTTTGATTGGTCAAAAACTGGCGCGCTTTGACGCATCGTGTTCGCAAAACTCACAGTATAATATTCTGATTTCCAACACAAGAATCTTTCCGTTGAAAAATACAGCATGAAAAATACAGCAAGAATTCAATCACACAACAACACAACCAAACAACCACTTTCAACTTAACACCAGGACACTACAACAATGACATGTTTTCGCTTGACTCTTTCCTACTTCCTTCTAGTGGTTTTCCTCGTAGTGGAACCTACTAATGCCCTTGCCAATCAGCATCATTATCATTCTTCTAGACGTGAAGATCTCCCCCCCGCCCTCACCAACACTGGTTCCTCTTCTGGCGACGCAAATGATGGCGGGTACTCTGCTGCTAAGCCATTCTACTCCCCCATGGCTCTTTTCGGAATCTATTCGAGTGGAAAATCCAATCAACATAATGATAATGATCCTCAACGCCATCCCTCGCCGTCCGCCTTCGCCAATGCTGATGGTTCCTGCTCTTCTGGCAACGCAGATGGTGATGGACACTCCTCTGTTACTGGGTCGAACTACTCCCCCATGGCTCTATTCGGAGTCTACTCGAGTGGAGAATCCGCCCTATTTGGAGGAGCCCATGGCAGCTGCGACATGACAACGGCCATGAGCAGTACCAATCACGAAGAATCGTCACAAGCAGCAGCACCAGCAGCACCCGAATCCCCTGTTATATTTCTTCCCAACCATTTGCTAAAAGATGATAATAGAGACCATTCGGTGTAAGCACACAATGTGATGAAATATGATTGTGAGGCTTGAAATAAACACTTGATCATTGATGCTGGAGAGCACACACGCACGTTCGTCTTTCAACGTCTATCTATCTTTATATCTACATATACATACCAACCCGAGTCCGAAACAACCCAAGACCCTACTACATGTTGCTTGATGAATGATACTACGTATTACAAAACGATACAACGACAAATATATAATTTATATAGAATCCACCAAATCACAAATCACGAGTCAATCACACCTACAGAGCACCATTTTGAAAAAGATCAAACCATACATGTGCTAGAGGAAAGTATGTCTTGCTAATCAGAATCGCCGGAAGGCCAGGATGATATTCACTCCCCCAGGATGAAGGAATGAATCAATCGATCAATCATTCGTGGATAGAGAGGGGCGGGACAACCAATGGAGGGAGGCTTCTGACTACGGAATAATACTGTATGGTTCAATTCTCATCAAGTAGCTAGTAGTAGTACTGGTAGCGCATACTAGTGCTAATACCAGTATTACCACTTGATCGCTATCACCAGGCAGTTCCCGCAGCTGCCGTTCCCCGAAATATATGATTCAGTAGTCGCTACAGTACGACGAACTTCAACGTTGGATTAAATATTCCATTCTTGTGACAGATGTCATCTTGACACGAAGTCGTCGTGATTCATTCATTCGTACCCTCAGTCGTGGTAGCTGTAACCTACTAGGTGGGTAGCTACTATTGATTCATTC